CTGGCAGACTTCTCAAGACGCGAATTGCCGAACACGCGGCAGCAGTGCGGCGTAATGATGCCAACTCTCAGGTTGCGGCTCATTCGACGAGACCCGGCCACACAAATTTAAAAGTGATGAGGCCGAAATTCTAGCGAGAGGTGACAATCGGTTGAGGCGAGGATTACTTGAGTCATGGTTCATGGGTCTCCAATCCATCATCAAATTCAACGATTTGCCCAATCCATATTTGGTGCTGAGACTCAATTTGCCCAAAGTAAGTCGCCGCTTGGGGAACGGAAAGGCCAACGCCTTATCCTATACCAGTACCGGAGGGTACTAGGCAGTCATTACACCCGAGTCCACCACGCGTGATGAAAGGTGAGCAGGTCAGAGCCCACATGCCGTTCAAAAGTCCACTGACGCTCAAGAAGGCAATTACGGCAAATTGTCTGCATATGTTTGCGGTAATTACTGTATCCTTTAAATACGGCAAACTCCTGTGCATGTGCTACCCTATCTGCTATTGCTCTCTGACTATGTCTCTGATGAGGAATCCGCGACGGATATCGAAACGTCAGGAGAATAATAGTATTGTCCCAGCAATTGAATCGTCTTCTTCTCAATTACTTCTTGAGACTCGCATGTTCGCTGGTATTGGTGACTTTTAGATTGTCTACCAGGCGCAAACAAAATACTCTAAAGGTTTACACTAACGTACTTTAACAACAGCCAGCACAGGGACTATTCAGTTAGCAAATCCAGTCCACTGCTGTCAAAACACTTGGGTGTAGGCAGTTCAACTGTTCATTCAAAAATTATTTATCTTGTGCTCCACATGAGGATGGGCTCGGGGACAGTGACTTGCGCCTGAACTACCGCATAGGGAGAGCAGACTCACACCACATCTACCGTTCTCTTTCCTCCTATCCCATTTGGCCCAGCGTCGTGACTAAATCAAGAAAAGCACAAGCGGCTGGCTTAGCCGAAACCACCTCTAGGCCTATCGCCACATCTGCCCCGAATCCAACTGAATGCTGTTGGGACGCCCCGGACGCGAGGTATCCCTCAGGCAATCTTAAGGGTACCAGAACAAAGGGACCTTACTGGTGCCCGGTTCATGCAATTACAAGCGACCTTCATAGGGCGGAAATTAGGCCAGGACAAAGGAGGTGCTCGCAAGCGAGACTAACCCGCGGCCGAGTTGTGGCTATCGAGAGGTCATGCTAAGGACACGAGGCTGGAGACATGACGGCTGTCCGTAGAGGCCACTCATTGAGAGCCAATAGGTAACTGACTACTGGCCCCTAAATATGCTGCCACCGCTTAAGGCGGCATTCTGTTGTTGAAGACGCGCTACCGACGACCCGTGATTCTGCTGCTAGTGACCCGGGACGCGGCTG